ATTCAGGACCTCGGAGGGACCGGCGGGCATGTCGATGCTGACGCCAGCGTTGGTGTCGTTGCTGACGAACATCTTGGCTGCCGTCACGAACTGGTTGCCGGGGCCGAGGATCTTGTCGACCTTGGGAACCGACTCGGTGCCGTAGGCCAGGGCGGCGACGGCCTGAGCGCCGCCGGCGAGGACGATGCTCTCGGCGCCGACCTTGTGGGCGACGTAGACAATCTCGGGCGTCAGGCTGCCGTCGGCGCGGGGCGGCGACGCGAAGACAATCTTCTTGCAGCCGGCGACCATGGCGGGGACACCGAGCATGAGAGCAGTGCTGGGCAGGACGGCTGTGCCACCAGGGATGTAGAGACCGACGCGCTCGATCGGCCTGGACATGCGGCTGCACACAACACCAGGCATCGTCTCGACGTGGAGGGGCTTGTCCTCCTTCTGGGCGGCGTGGAACTTTCGGATGTTCTCGAAAGAGATGTCAATGGCCTTGATGGACTCCTTAGAAAGCTTCATGGCCTCCTCCGGGAAGGGTGCCCTCAAGACAGGCGAGGTGAGTGACGTGGCCTTCTCAAACTTGTGAGTGTAGGAGAGCACGGCCTTGTCGCCGCCGGAACGGACCTCGTCAATGATAGGCTTGACGATGTTGAGAATAGCCTCAGGAGACTTCTGTGATGGCCTCTTCAGGACCTCGGTGACCTCGGCAGCCGAGACCTTGGACGCATCGTAACGGCGCATGAGGATCTTGTCTGACTTGGCACCGTTGCTCTGGGGAGCAGGTGCCGGGGCGGCCTTGGCAGGCGCTGGCGCATCGGTCTTGATGCCCTCCTTCTCGGCCCACTTGCCCTTCGCATCACCCTTTCTCCTCTTGACCTTCCAGCCCTTGGCATCAAGGCTCTTCTCGATATCAGCCACGCTGACACCAGCACTGACAGCCTTGGTGAGGGCAAAGTAAATCAGGTCTGCGGCCTCGAAGGCAACATCCTCCTTCGTCTTGGCGTCACACAGCTCCTCGGCCTCCTCCATGATCTTGGCCCGCAGGAGCTTCTCGTCGTTGAAAAGGCGTGCCGTGTAGGAGCCCTCGGGAGCAGACTCTTTCCTAGCCTTGAGGGTCTTCTCAAGACGGGCGATGCCCGTCAAGTTGCCAAAGCAACCATCTTGCTCGAGGTGGCAGAAGCGTCCCTTTTGCCTGACGACGAACTTGATGGCGTCGTTGTCGCAGTCCAGGGAGACCTGGAGCAGCTCCTGGGTGTCGCCAGACGTGCCCCCTTGTACCAAAGTCCGCGCTTACGGCTCTGGTAGACACCTGTCTGTGTTCGAA